ATATATATATATATATATATGGCTTCTTCATAGATTAAATCTGTATATGTAACTCACAGTGTAAGAACTTGGGACATCTTAACTACTATGAGATGAGGCCAAGATCAGGAGCATGGAAGACAGAAGCAAACAGTATTTTATTGTGTCCATATATTCATGTTTAAGCAGAAGAAGGCCCTTTATTTGTAAAGCACAATGTTATGGCCAACAAAGAAGTGACAGGCAGAACTTTGAGTAGATTGTGTACAAAGTCCTTGTATGGGTGAGTGTAGGGGCTAACCATAAACTTCCGCTTTTCAGTTTTGCTCAGTGCAGGCTCTAAGAACAGGCCGGGGGCTGCGGGTCACAAGCCTCAGCACGCGTCTCTGGCCATGGAGCCAGGGCGCCACTATGTGGCCAAAAAGGCACAATACATCCAAATATATCTCTGGCCGCTTCTCCAGAAGGACCCGGGAGGCTGAGGCCCCCAGGTGGTGTGAAACGGCACCCACTGAGCACCTCTTTACCCAGGCGAAGCAGAAAACAATCCAGGGCTGGGCGGTCGCTGGTATTCGCAACATGGAAAATGGAGCCATGAATCCCAGCAAAAGCTAAGACAATGCCCTAGAAAATGCCCCTCCCTTACTTTTCCCCCAGAAGAGACTATACCTGTGGCTGCTGCCCAGCAAGGCCAGATGGTCTGTCTTCACCGTGTAGTGACCGAAGGGCACGTGAGCCATGAGGTAGCAAAAGTGAGCAGCCTCCACCAGCCCTTTCCCAGCTGCGGGAGGAGAAAAACAGTCCCAGTCAGGAGACACCCCACAGGGGGCACATCATCTGAGTGGGATGGGAGAGACTCAGAAGAGTGGGCTTGGAGGTCAGCAGGGAGAAGCCTCAGGAGAATAAAGGAGCAGCTACCTCACAGCTGAGTCACTGACTCCAAAGTCCTCACGGCAAACCCCTCTCTCTCTTCCACTGGCATTTTTTCACCTCTAATATTGCATTTCAATTCTCTTCAGTGAAGAATGAGACACTATTTCACATTTCCCTGATGGGTTTTTTTTTTTTTAATCTGTAGTTTTCTGCAAATCTCACTCCTCCCTAGGGGTGAACAGCGAGGCCTATTCCTGACTGTTGGGAGTAGCCATCTTTACACTTGACTTCTGGGGCCACCCATGGGCTCTGCTGAAATCAAACAGAAGACTGTCCAGGGCTCATAAAAATCACATTAATTACCAAGTTGTTCGCACTTTTAAAATATCCTCTCATACATTTTCCATTACCTCAAAATTGAATTAACCTGAGCAGGTGAAGGACCTAGCACAGAATCTGGCACCCAAAAGAGGCTCCAAAAGCTACTCCCTATGCACCTGTGTGCTGACATGTCTGCCGTCCGGCTTGGCACAGTCTTGCATGTGGCTATTTCAAGTTGAATAGAGCAATATTTCAGAGTTTCACAAAGAACATAGTTGATTGCTTCATGTTCTGCCCCTTGACCAAATTTGAGAACCACTGATCTGGAACATTCAATAGTTTCTAAGTGTTTATAAGGCCATGTTGACTGAGAGATGAAAGACATAAAGACTGCACAATTACCCAGGGTAGTTTGGGGCAAAATAGAATTTCCTGTGTGATTGAGTGGGGTCGCTGTGGGACTCACAGTTACGGATAAGTGCTCCGTGTGTTATTTTTCCTTTAGGAGAATATGACCAGGATTGGAGAGAAAACCCAGAGGGACTTCCTGCAGCAGCAGTAACCCAAAGACAGGGGTTTGGCCTGTATTGGTCAGCAGAAGAAATTCCAAGAAATAGGGAAACTCCTTTCCCTGGAGTCTCTGTCCCCAAAACGCTAAGGCCTGTGGGTCAAAGAGAGACCTGAGGCAGAGGCCAAAGGCTCAGGACCCCGCAGAACCTATGAGTCTAAGCACACGATGTTCAGAGCAGCCCCAAGGCCCCTGAAGGAGAGGAGTGGAAAGCACTGATGTCCACTTACCCAGCATGTCCCCCATGGTGACAATAGCGCGCTGATGGAGCTCCGAGTCCCCGCCTTGGTTTGACAGAATCACGGCCAGGTGAGGCCTCCAGTCTCCCCACTGCTTGTCCCCACAACACTGAAAAGCAGCAGAAGTAAAGATTTACCACATAAGGTGGCAATGGCCATAAGTAGGTAAAGAAGGTTGTTTCCTGGTTAGAGACCGTTAGACGAGGCCTGTTATACTGCCTGCGATCTGGCCGATTAATGATTTAGCATTATCTCTTTTTAAAAAACAAAACTCCTAGAAAGGGTGGGTAGGCAGACAGATACAGATACACACATATGTATACAGGTACACAGCAGATACCGGGAGGCAGATGAAAAAAACGACACGACTAGTCACTAATTTTCAGATTTCATCCAGGTACCTCCAAACCAAATAATTAGGGGCAAAACCCTGCATGCCTGAAGGTTCAGGGAGAATCCTAAGGAAATTGTGAGGCAGGTCAATCATCCTTGACTTACAAGGAAAACACTTCACACTAGTCTGTTGGGTTCCTTATTATTGTCCCCAATACTGTGTTCTGGTTTTACAAAACCCTTCCCTGTGCATCATTTAATCTCAACAACCCTGGGAAGTGTAGTTCAGATAACCACTTGAGGAAAGAGGAAACCGGGCCAAGTGGCCCAGCCAGCACTGAATCCCCACTCTTTCTCCTCCAGGCTGAGGGGGGTGCCTCCTCCCTCCACTGCTACTGCACTGCCAGCAGGGTCCCACCAGGGGGCAGGAGAGTACATGCAGAAATGTGCCTTGGGCAAAGCCCTATACAAAGAAAGGGCTCTCCCAGCACAACCTCTGGCCTAGCCTCTGGCCTTTGCCTAAATGAAGGGAAACTTGTGGACTAGGATCATGTCATGGAAACAACAAAGAGCTTGGATTTGCCTGAGTCCTGCCTCTTACAAGCTGTGTGAGCTTAAACAAGTTTCTTAATGTCTTCCAACTTTTGTTTCCTCATCTCTTAATTGGAGATCATCATTTCCACTTAACAGAGATATTGTTGTTCATGAAAGAAGGTGCTCATAACTTCAAAGCACCTGGTTTGTACTTTCTAAATCAAATGTAGGGTGCAACCACACACACACAAACACATACACACACAGAGTCCAACAGAGGAAAGAGGTGATGAACAGGAAAGCCTGTCTTCCCACCTGTTACAGAGGATATCTAGAAGAAAAGATTGACAGTGAGAGCTAAGATTTGGAAATCAAAACAATTTACAATGATTTGGTCTTGTAATTATCCCAGGGAACAAAAGATCCAGCTCCATTTTATATTTATTCTTTATCTGAGCATTTGCAGTGTGAATGAGGATGATGCTGATAACAAATGACAATCATGATAGCAGTTCTCATTTATCACCACACGCCATTGCCTGTGCTCAGCATTTCTCATGTCATCTCACATTTCGTTTTCTTGCTCTGCACGACAAGTGAACAGCCACAGTGGGGTGGCTGGGGCCAGGTCTTTGGAATCAGACAGACCTGATTTAACACGTCTGCCTCCACAACTCACTAGAGCTGTGACCTGAGCCATTTCAGACCTGTATGACACACTTTTCACATCTACAGGGAGCATCGTCCCTATCTCTGTGTATTACATGGGATAATATGCTGAGTGCTTAGCACAGGACCAGGCCATTGGTAGGTGATTGACAATATTATTTTTTTTTTATCTTTAAAACTGCCACCTCATTCCTGAGCAGTACCCACCCCCCAACCCCTAGGATGCTGGGGTTCAAGAAGCCCCATCACATAGGTACCGTGGCTGCCTGTGGGATCCTCCCCGACATGAGCTGGAAGAGAGTCTGCAGGGGGTCGTTGAGGGCCAGAGTGCTGGTGAAGCTGCAGAGAGAGGCAACCACTATCAGAGGACCACACCACGAGCACTCCTCACCCACCACCCACGAGGCATGGAGCTGTGGGAACTTCTCTGATTTCAGAAGCACCTATAGGAAAGTAGGCTTTTTTTTTTTTTTTTTTTTTTGGCTTCTCTCATTTTCCAGGCAGGGAGGGAGGGTATTGGCAGGATCTTTGTTCCACTGCACACCTCAAATTGATCTCATGCTTGGGGGATACTTTCTGTGACTAGGCACTGATTCTTTAATTCTTGGGTAGCCTTTCCTATAGGCCTTCTATCACAGAGATCACACCCCCCACCAACCTCTGGAAGACCCCTAGAGAGCCCCAGCATCTAAGCTGCATTTATTCTCCAAGGGTCCTCTTTGCCAGTTCCCTGAACTCCCACTCTCTGTCTTGGCTCTGCTCTGTACCCAGCCCATAGCTCCCAGTGCTGGTTTTTCTGGCTCATCTAGCCTGGACCTGGAGTAGTTTTATTCACAAGCACTAAACAGTCATTTTCAATAAGCAAAGAGGCGTAGAGCAGGGACCAGAAAAGAGCCTGCTGATAACAAAGTATGGAATATGCTTAACAAGGATATAATAAGCTTGATCACTGATTTGAGATTTAAGCACACTCAGAAAGAGACATTTTTCACAATTCACTGGGCCCCATCAAAAATCAATGGCCCAAGGCAAAAATCTGTAGCCGAGATGCATGCTGAAATGGGGGGCTGTGACTTGTTCATTTCCAAAACCCAAAGGAAGCATCTGTCCGAACACCATCTTTTATTTAATAGCACCCTTGCCTTGGGAACTCAGAGTGCTTATCATAATCAAATGCCAGTGCTCCTCACTATTCCCATCCCTGAACATAATGACACATACAGTGATACTGCTAGTCCCTGGGAAGAATCAGGGTTAGAGTAAGAGACTCAACAGAGGCCATCTTGAAGAATGGACTCCTGGTAGAGAGGGTCCCATTAGCTCCACAGAGCTTAAAGTGGAGGATCATCTTCTTAACCTTCTGACCGAAAGGATTTGTTGCCAATTAAATACAAGTTAGGTAGAGAAGATAACTTCATGACTTTAACCAATACTAGGATATGAGTAATTTGAGGTAACGTCTTTCTCATTCTCTTAGAAGACTTCTCAATCCCCCACCCCACCCCTGCCATATGTCTACCTGCCAACCCATGGATGGTAGCAGAGCCTAAAGGAATTACTCAGAAATCCTGTTCCAGTACCCCGAAACCCAGCTCCTGCATTTGGTTCTCATGCTTTGTTGCTGTTCCAATTCCCACCTGTATTTCTATGTCACCTGGCTTGGGCTTTCTTCCTGGCCATCTTGGCACCCAGATCTTGGTGTACCTGTGATTACTGACTACACGCATCCCTGCACTCCTGACAATCCCCCACGGCACTGGACCTGTCTTCTGGATCCAATTTCCAGACCTATAAACACCTTCTCCATGCAACTCCTGCTCATGCTGCCCCATCTCTCTACCTACTTCTCAGCAGCCACATGCTCCCTGCAAGACTAAGCAGTAGACAATTACTAACTCAGTCCCAAGGCTGTGTCAGTTAACCTTAAGTGATTGCCTAATTCCTCGTTGATGGAACTGTTTAGAGCAGCCCTCCCAAAGAGGGAAGGCTGATGCAGTATAGAAACTTAATCTTTGGAAACTATGTCCCAGAGAAATGTTGCTCAGATGTGTATTTGTTTGTTTTTTCCAACTTACCAGTAGCAAGAATGTGCCTGAGTCTAGGGGATAAGAACCTGGAGAAGAAAACATGCTGCATCCAGCTCAGAAAAGAGAAATTGGGAAGATGTTGAGGGTGTGGACTTCTCACTGCATCTTCCATTTGTTCTCACCCTCACCTACTCTGCTGGTGGGGCAGCCTTTTCCCTTCTTTGGTTTCCTTTCAAGTCCCCTACTCACCCACTCATCACCCAATTATAGGTCCTTGGGTCCATCTTGCTGGATAGGAACAAAGCATGGCCCCATAAATGGTTCTTCATGGCCCACTCCAAGGCTTCCTGTGAACAAAAGCATCCCTTTCAATATTGCCTTCCTCATTTTCCTCTCACAACCACAAAGGACTGTGCTCTGGTCCTGCTGTGCATGGAGAACGGAAGGCAGGCTCCCGGGAAGACCCTGAGCCTCTCCTTGGCATGTGAGAGAGGATGCATGGGGAAATAGGCTTTCACTGACACGCATTTCTAAGTTGTCCCTTCTCCAGCTTCCATTTAGTGAAAATCCATTATGTGATTTCATTAGCTCCTTCTCAGACATGGTTTCCAGTTAGCCTTATCTCTTTAGCAAAAGGCATGCAATGATTTTCTGGACATAAGGACCAGAAATGAAAGAAGGACCTTAGGGTTGAGTCTCAAATGACAAGAAGCAAGATGGTATCCAAACCAAAACAAACCCCTAGATATGGCTAGAGAATAGCAACTCTCAGGAGAGAGGTGGAGAGGAAACAGTGCCAGAAGGGGTGATTATGAAAGGTGATAGGTAAGGTACGCTACGATACATCTGAAGAGGCCTGAACCTGCCCCCCCCCCACCAAACCGGTATCACCTCAATAAAATGAATATTTATTTTTTTAAAGAATGGGATACACTAACATGCTATTTATAACATTGACTATGTCATGAATACTTACAGAGATTTTAAAAAAAAAAACTTTCTTTTTTAACAACTGTGTTAGAGACTACTCGGTCCTCACCCAAGTTCATGTTCTCTTTCCAACACAAAGAATTGGACTACATTTTCCCATGCTCTTGCAATTGGATATGACCAAATCCTAAGCCAGGGAACAGGAATGAAAATGATATGCCCTTTGGCCTACAAACCAACCCACCGTACCCTATCCTCCCTGGCCTTTTCCCCACCTGACTGGCTGAATGAAAAATATCTAAATAATAGAGATGGTGTATATGTGTGTATGTGTTATACATGTGATAGACACATATCGCCTATACACATATATATTTATACACACACATATTTAACGAGCAAAGAGCTTCTGGGATTTAAAAACTATGTTGGAGATGGTAGAGGAGCCTACATCTGAAATCCCCGAATAACAACATGGAAGAGAACTTCTCATGTTCTCCCACCCCTATTCTCACATGGATAGAAAGTTCTGTCAGTATTAAATACAACAAACAGACGATTTACCTACCTTGGCCAATAATAAAATTCGTTGCTTGTTAACTGGCAAGTGCCTTGTAATGTCAAATGAGTGTCAAGTTCATTAACAAGTGAGATGATTTAGACCTGCAAATCTAATGCATTCGCATACATTCATCTCTCCATTTAATTTTCAGACATATTGAATAAGGGTTTAATTTATATATATAGTTTTCACCTGCCATTCATAATTTCCTTGCTCTTCCAAAATAACAGGATTTTGGAATAGGAAGTGATAGTGAGGTAATTTCACTATCCAATGAAAATTTATTTAATACCTCAATACCCCCCCATGTTATCTTATTTAAAGAGAGAACAATCGTGAACAGTCAGAGTTATGGAATTCATCCTTATATCTTGTACTAGTAAAAAAATTACCTTATTTTTTTTTGTATGTTTAAGCCAATTCATTAAAAAAAAAACTAAGGGGGTTACTAGCAATTGGTTGGAAATCTTCGGTTTACTCAAAAATTTGCTTTTTCAAAAATACAACCTAAGAATAAGTTTAAAAAAAAGAGATAGAGAGAGAGAGCATATACTGAATATGCCAATCTCACACAATTCCAAATATAAGAACCCAACTAAGTATTAATAAGGGTCTTAAAGATACCTCAGTATCCACTTTCTCAGAAATCACTTGCAACTCCTGTACTCTGTCTGCTGCTCACTTGCCTCTGCATGAAGGGGTGAGAGCTGCTGTGGTAGACAGTCAGGAGCCCAGCCTCAGGCTTCAAGTGCTGAAATCTAAACTCTGACTCCATCACCTACTAACCTTCCTCATGCAAACACATTGAACAAGACTAGAACTTAACTTACAGAATTCCTACAAATATAAATCAAATAATTCTGGCTGTATGATGTCTGCATACAGAAAAGGGGAAGGGATCGTCTCTGATTTATGTCTGTACCCTTCCTGGGTTCAATGCCTTTGAAGCAGTGGTGCTTAATAACATGGGGGAAAATGAATCACAAGTGAAATTGTGAGTGCCTCTTATAGAGTGACTACATAGATAAGTATAGTATATAGTATATAAATGTAAATAACTGTACAGTGATTTAATCATATTTTTGTATTTTCCCAGCAAAGACAAGGATAGGAAAATGCAACAAGTAAATACATCAACTGTTAGCAGGGTGTTATTTTTTAATAGTAGAACTATGGGTCCTTTCATTTTCTTCTATGTACCTTTGTGACCCTAAGTGCTAAAGATAAGCATTTATTACGTATTTTGAGGGAAGGGATGAGTGATGGGAATTTTAAAATTTAGCCTCAAAGGGGCACACTTGCCTTCTTCCTTCCAAAGTAGAGCAGTTTAGTGAATTTCTCCACTATCTGAGCCGGGGTCTCCACACTGGGGGGGATCTCCCCGGTGAGCAGGTTCGGAGTCCCCGAGTTCATCACCGGCCAGTCCTCATCCGTCAGGTTGATGAGGTTCGCCACCGGGGTCTGCCTCTTGTATTTCTCCAGCTTCTGACAGTCTTGCATCAGCAGCTCGGCAATGTCGGACCCCACCAAAGACTGCAAGGCAAAGAGCAGATGCATCCTGAGAGCAAACCCTCTTGGTCCTGGCAGCCTTGGCTGAGCTTCTGCCTTTTTCATGAGGACCCCGGTCATGCAGCACAAGGCAGTCCTCTCTTGGATTGGTGTATTGAAAACTTCAGATTCGTTCTCATGGTTTTCTGCCGGTCAGGCGCCACAAAGTTTACTACACAAAGGTGTATTACCTAGCAGGTGCAGCCGCCCAAAAACTTCACCCTAAACCCAGTCAGGAGAGGAAGGCTCAGAAAAGGTTAGTGTGACCTGCTCTGAAGGTTCAGCTATTTCACTCTCTCGGTTCAGTGGTTGCTTCTTTAAGATTGGCTTTTATAATCATGCCAGAAGACAAACTTAGCTATCCCGGAAGACTTAAATCTCAATTCAGCCAGCACCAACGCAGAGCAGCGATGCTCACCCCATTCTGTCGACAAAGGAGAACCAACAGTTGCCACAGTAAGGCTGAGTCTCTGCTCCTCGGTGTCTCAGATTTGCGGCTCTGAGCTGCTTTCTTCTGGCAAAATGTCATGATATCCACCTTGTGTACATCTTCCCTGTGGAGAAAGTTCAAGAGGCCAAGTGAGCTGGCAGCATCAGTTCCTAGAGGGCCTGCAGGCTCCTGCAGTGTGAGGGAGCCCGGGCTGGCTAGAAATCTGGCTGCAGCAGTGAAAAGGACATCAGAGAGTCTCTCCTACCCACTCAGATGACAAAACTGAGGCCCAGAGACAGAAATGGCTGCAGAGAGTAGCAGGTAAGAGCCCAGCCTTTGGCTTCATGCAAGCCTGGGTTTAAACCTAGCTTTTGCCATTCTCAGCTTGCAACTGGCAGGCATTATTATGTTACTCAATTGTACAATAAAATCAAAATCAAGTTGAGACCAAGTGTTACACGTGCTTCTCATTGGTATTGATAGGATTTGTAGTTCCAGTGTCTGAAGTGGGGTGGAGTCCATGAAACCTGTATCTGTTAGCAAAAGTACTCTAGTGTCCAAATACCCAGCAAAGTGCCACCCTCCATCTGTCTATCTTTATGTAAGAAATAGGAACAACTCTCATTTTTGTTGAAGTTGCTGTGAAACATTATATAGGGATTTGCTTAGCAGGCAAGATTCAAGAAAATGCATTTATTTAACAGTAAGGATATTCGAAGCATATACACATACATTAACTCATTTCATCTTATTATCACTACCTAAGTAAGCACAATCAGTGACATTGACAGAATCAGTGTTCTTAAAAGGAAAAGTAAAGTTTAGGAAGCACTGAGCGAACATTCGCCATGGCACCTCCAGTCAGTAGGAAGCCAGGATCTGGAACCCAGGTCCTCAGACACCAGTCAAGAGCCTCTCTACAACAGAGGGCGCTATAGGTATTTTTCAGAAATGTGACTATGAATTTTAAAGCAGTCATAGCTCAAGCCTGCAGAGGGCAGACTTGTACATGTCCATAACCCAGAAGCTGGCCATAATCTCTGTCTTTCCAGAAATAGTTGATTTTTTTCCTCACTATGATCTGCTTATCCATGATTTTCCAGGCTGTGCTCCAACTTTTCCCTACTATCTGTTAGGTACACAGAATATTAAAACTTCCTATCATGTAGACTCTGTGAACCAGAACTGATTTCAGATTTTTAAACATTTAAGTTAATTTTTCTTTTCCCCTTCAGCAATCGAATTCTTGTCAAAATGACTCAGGCCACATCTGATTCTATCTTGTAGCACAGACAATTCTACTCCAATGGGGATAGACATTTTCTTTCAAGGCAGCCAAGAACAAATCCCAGAATGCTGATCTGAGCAGGAAGATTTTCTGGGTTTCAAAAGCAACTTATTTGGCAACTCTTATGGTAATTTACCTGATTAAGGGTCCTGAGAAAGCCCTCATTTCTTCTTGCTCCTCAGAATCATTAAGAATAACCTGAAATGAAAAATCAAGTTTTGGTCTTCTAGACTATTCACCCAATGCCCCTTTCAACCAAGTCTGGTGTTAGAAGGCAGAGCCAGATCCTGGGATATGGCACAGTGCCTCATGGAGAAGGCAGAAGGACAACAGTGAGTTCTCCAAAGCTGAAAATAACCCGAGAGAATCTCAGGGGAAAAGTGACTTTGACACATTCCTTTCAGAGTAGAGCTCCTTCCACCCCCCTGCATGGTTCCTACATACACACACACACACACACACACACCAATCCCCACATAGGCACACTCCACTCCTGACGATGTCCAACTCAGTCAAAGGGAAGCAGAGGAAGGATGTGAAGAGGAGTTAGCGAACAGTGTGCTACATTCTGGAACATAGCGTCTTGGTTACCTCCAGGCTGTGCAGCTCAACAAGGGCCGTTTGTCCATCACTAGGAGAGCTGAGACCCACACGTACTAGCTGACCACCTGGGCCAAAACTCACAGGCACGTGAGGGATGTAGAACTTCACAGGTGCATTGGGACTTGCTGTGGAGACATCCTCTGACCAACACACACAGATGGGCACCGTTAGCTTTATTGCCACTACCTTCCCTTACTTTAGAAATATGCCCCAGACACATTTCTGTACAAATTCTATGTGGGACCAAGGTAAGACTCTGAGTAAGCTATTGATTAGAAGTAGCCCCTCTCCCCATCCAATTTAGGCCTCTGAAAGTATATCACAATCTAATGCAAGAATTTGGGGGTTTTGTCCAATGGTCATGTCCCAGGCCCAGTTCTCCATGGGAAATCTTTTGTAGCTCAAAAGTCTTAAAAGTCTCCGACATCCAAACACAGTTACACTATGTGTCAGTCTTTGCTTTACTGGTCTTTGACTTCAGTCTTCACTTTTCACCTGTTAGATGAGAACATCTCTGAGGCCTAAATCTCTAATCTCCAAATCTCTCAGAGCCTGGTGATAGCCAGAGGCAGTGTTCCCTTCCAAGAATCAGCTATGACACAATTTCCACATTGCAAGAGAAAACATGAGAGATGGAGCCAAAGCTGGTTTCTTGCCCAGGGGAGCTACATTAGCAAATGGGGTAGACAATAATCCAAGCTTGGAAATGAAAGTAAAGGATGGCTTTCTAAGAGACTTGCCACTCAACCATCCTCACATTAGACTCCACCAAGTCCTTTGCCCATTTCAGTACTCACCAGCCTGAATTGGACTCCAAGCTGTTAAAGTCATGGGTGCTGGTGAGTCTGTGGCATCTGCCATGTACTGACTGAGCTCATAACTGCTAGAGCTGAGACCAGACTCCTGCTGCTGAAGGAGGTTGGACTCCCTGGTCATCGAGAGCTACAAGTAAAACAGCATGGAAACACTTGGGAAAGAAGCAGAAGCAGTTTCAGAGAATTGTTCCTCCCAAGTGTTCCTTCCATGTAAAAAAAATCAAACTTTCAAATAATTATAGTGAATATAGGAAAAGAGGAGCCCAAAGTCAGGTAAGTGGATCACAAAAATGTGGGATAGGTACACAACAGAATACTACTTGGCGATCAAAAAGATAAACTCATGCCATCTGGAAACTACAGAGATTATGCTAAGTGAAATAAATCAGAATGAGAAAGAGAAATACAAAATGGTGTCACTAATATGTGGAATACAGAGCAACTAATAAAGACTCAGATAATAACAAATGCAAAAACTAGCCCTTGAATGCTGGCTGGAGAACTGAGACATCCAGAAGGGGAGAAAGAGGGAAGCGGTGAGAACAAAGTGAAGAGGGAGCTCAATGACTATGTTGGTGGACAATAGCCACTTTGAGAGTGGGTGCACTATGGTAACTACCCCTGAAAAGGGGATCCTATACTTCTAAAATACAAACAGTGTAAGCCACTATGATTTCAATTGAAAAGCAAAAGAAGAGAAAAGAAGAGGTAACTCAATTGACAGGTATTTGCTGGAGAATGCATTATGGCCCCATGAAAAAGAGAGCAGGTCCTGAGATCAGGGGCCTTGAATTCAAATCCTACCCTTGTCAGTCCATCCCTAGCCTCTGTGACTGAGTAGTGATATGGGCTCTTTGGGCTCTGCACCCTCATCTGTAATACAGATCATCATAGCTGCTGACTTGTGCCAACTAACAAGCATCTGCTGAGCTCCAGGCACTGGGAGCTCCCAGCACTGCAAACTCCAGGCACTAGGCACAAGACAATCACAGAGGAACACCCCCCCATCCACCCCCCCACGCCCCTGCGCTGTGAATGGCACAAGGAGAGAAAATGCAGCACTATAAAACTATCCTCAACCCCTACAGCACGAGTTCGATCCCCAGCCAGGGAACTGACCCACATGGCACAGCAGACCTCTCTTGTTTTGCCCACTGCTCCCCTCAGCAATGTATTTCAATTGATCTGTCTGTTCTACTCCCCACTCTGTCTCCCATGAATCACCCCCCGCATCTCTGGCCTATACCCTAGCTCTTGTATTTATAAATAAATAAATCTTTAAAAAAGACATCTGAAGGACTTAAATGCTGGAAAAATACAAAGAAAACAATGATGCCAAAGTTCTCTGTACACAGTCAAGTAAGTGTTTTACATGTGCATCGCTGCTGTTACAGTTATTAGTTAACAGAGCCCTGTCCTGTTAAGCATGAGGTAGATAGTTGCTTCTGTATATTAGAATATTAGATATACTAAAAAAAAAATCTAATCAGGGAAACAGACTTAATACAGACTGTCAAAAAATTATGAGCTTGTGCCTAGAGTATCTTTACAAATATTCCATAAATCTAAAAATGTTTGCTTAGAGAAATAAGAATTCCCAATTTGTAGGCCAGCTTTTAAAAATTTTAGTAGAGATGGATGAGTCAAGAAAGGCTTCAGGGTCTGCTTTTCAGAGCTGAATTAAAAGATCCTAGAAACTTCTCACTTCTTGGGTAAACCAAATTGCTAGTCCCATCAGGTACTAAAGGCAGCTCTTCCCGCTGTCTCACTTTGGAATAGCTCAGGTGGCATTTTCTTGATTCAGCCGATTTGACAAAAATGCAGAAGAATCAGATAAGGGTCCCTGACCCACATATCTGAAACAGGAGTGCAGGGAAAGAAGGAGGTGGTGAAGGCCCGCCTACAGGAAGGGGATCCTCCAGACAGCTGGCCACTGGAGCCCCCACTCCCACGGGCTGTGCTCCACTGCTGACAGTGTCACAGGCCAGTAGCCTGGGCCACTTCAGATTACCTTCTTCTGGGCCCCAGTTTGCAGATTCTCAGGAAACAGGTCCCCTGCCTTCTCCTGCCCAGAGTGAGAAGCAGGACTGTCTTTATAAGTGTTCCAACTCTTAGATCTGTAGCAAAATGACAGCAGGGGGTAAGAGAGGGTCTCCTGGAAACAGAGCTGCCTGCACTTGGCCAGAGGCTGTTCTGCTTCAAATCATGGATAGCTATCAGGTCAGCAGTGCCATGAGGGAAAGCGTGGTCCTCCATTGGCCACCTCAAACTATCAAAACCAGAAAAATAGGAGCTCCTGGATCCCCCAGTGCAATTACCAGAAGTGTCCTGGGCCCTGCAGAGCAGGGCCTGTAGCCAGACATTCAGGAATGGCCTAAATTAGAACACTTGAATTGATGAGTTCCAGGACACAGGCGCCAGGCCTTGGGCGCCGGGACTGGTGCTGCACAAAAGCCTCTTTTCTGTTCTGTCTGATTCCAGAGGATTCTATACTCAGGGCACAGGGGTGAACTGAGGTGCTACATCCCAGCCCCAGCAGGACCCTATCATGAGGACTTTTGCAAGGCCACATCTGTTCTGAAGCCCGCCTAGAAGTTAGGCCTTCTAGGATGGACCTCACAGGACTCAAACTAGCCAGCTCAGGGCACGGCCTTGCTGAGTTAAAAATCACTCGACCCAGTACCCTAGTAACACCTGACCCAGGTCATTCTGGGCTACTCCCACCTCCCTTGCCACAATTTGCCTAACAGAGTTTGAGCTGGGCTGAAGCGTATTGAGCCAGCCTCCCCATTCACACTTACTGGGGCTGGGTTTCGCTGTTTGTTCCAAAAGGACTGCTCTGGTTTTCATGATGCTCGTCACTTCCGTACTTTTGATCTCGATAATCTTCATGCCAGGTGTAAGGACTCCCTTGCCTTGGCACTGCACCCTCAGAGAAAACAAAATAAAGACAGGTCACTCCCTGTTCCCAAAAGCTCAGAAAGACACTACTAGCAAGCTGTGAAGCAGAATTACTGGAACTTGGTAAGTATATATATTTACTGAGCTAAATAAAATTGATGGGTGAGAGATAAAAATGTATGTCTGGGCCCTCCCTGGTGGCGCAGCGGATTAAAGCACAGCACTAAGATGTTTAAGCCACTTCCGCATGAGTTCAATCCCCAACTGCCCCGGAGAGGACCACATGGCATGGCAGACCTCTCCTGACCCGCCCAATGCTCCCCTCAGCAGTGTACTTCGTCGATCTGCCTGTTCTGCTCCCCACTCTGTCGCTGGCGAATCCTCTCACCCTCTGCATCTCTGGCCTGTACCCCAGTTCTGTATGAATAAATAAATAAATATTTAAAAAAAAATGTAGGTCTGTAAGATGTCCCTCGGTCCTCTATGAGCCAGCTAGCATGTACTCAGTGGGGACTTATACAGCTGTACATGATGGGTAGTGTGTGTGTGTCTGTGTGCCTGCATGATTGCATGTGAGTGCATATTTTCTCAACACTAAAACTGAGCTCTCTCTGCTAGCTGGTCAGGAGTTCCCGCAAGCACACACTTAAAGCCTTAGTCCTGGCATGGGGCATAAACTCCTGTTGGCTTCTGTCTGCCCCCCTCACAGTGAATGGTAGTCAGGCCCATATTACAGCCCAGCCATGCACTTGACTTCACTGTGAAGAGCTGACTTCACTGCAATTTAGTGAGAGACTATAATCTTGTCTTTAACAAGAAGTAGAAAAAAATGTGGATGAGTTTTAAACAATCCATGATACTAGTCACATACTGATAGTTTCAGCAGCAGTTTCTACACATACAAAGAAAAATGACTTCTTTCTATCTCTTCACCTCAAGACTTCTAATAGCAGTGTTTTTGCTTTGGCCTCAGCTGGCCAAGAAGGAAACAGATGGGTGTGGGGGCTTGGCCTCAGCTGAGCAGAATGCTCCAGTGAGGCTCAGTACATGGCTCCTTCAGGCCAGCTGCCCACCCCACAACCCCCAAAGGCTGCTTGGAAATTGCTGTGTACCTCTTTCATCCTGTAGCTGCTGTGGGTGTCTGTGATAATAGTAACCTCCATAAGCATAGTCCTCCCTTAGGTTTGGAGGGTAATAACTCAGATATGGATCCTCAATACCTGGTCTAAAAAAAACACAAAACCAGTCATTCAAGGAGAAGTGTGATTGGGAGAGAAACCAGTGGGTGACTCAACACATGAACCAAATGGACAGCAACAACATTGTTAATTCCAGATCCTAGAGGCAGAAATTCCTGAATCAGAGCAGGATTAGGACCTTTGTAATCAGAACAAGCCTGGAATTTTTACAAAAAACCGAAACCATGTATCTCATTCTCCTTTTCATGGCCCCTCTTATTTCTTAGATCTATACATCCAACAAAGCATCACATTATCTTAGGAAACCCCTTCCTGAGGATTGTGTAGGTACACAACACACCATTGTCACTCCCATGCATATTTAAAAATGGAAATGGCCTAAAAGACCTAACTTGAACTGCCGCAAATTGTTTTACTGCTCTGAGCCCTCCCTGGTGGTGCAGTGGGTAAAAGCGCAGCACTATGAATCTAGCCGCAACCGCTTAAGCACAATTTCCATCCCCGGCCAGGGAGGTGACCCACATAGCACAGCAGGCCTCTCCTGCCTCGCCCACTGCTCCCCTCAGCAGTGTACTTCATCAATTTGCCTGCATCTCTGCATCTCACCCTGTGTCTGGTGAATCCTTTCACCACCTGTACCCCAGTTCTGTATGCATAAATAATAAACAATATTTTTTTTAAATTGTTCTACTGCTCCTTAACAAGCTTCCTTTGAAAATTCAACAATACGGGAAGAATTCTTTAATAATTTAATAATTCTTGGCCCTCCTTTGTGGCACAGTGGATTAAAGTGCCACACTGTAAAGTCAACCACTTAGGTGCAAGTTCGATCCCTGCCCCAGAGGTGACCCACATGTTGCAGCAGACCTCTCCTGACCCACCTGCTACTCCCCTCAGCAGTGTAATCAATCTTCCTGTTCTGCTCCCCACTCTGACTATGGTGAATCCTCTCACTGCCCCTGCACCTCTGGCCTGTACCCCAGTTCTGTATGCATAAATAAATAATAAATATTTTGTAAAAATTAATAACTCTTGGCCCTCCCTGGTAGTGCAGCGGGTTAAAGCACAGCACTGAGAAGCTAAAGCCACTTCCGCATGAGTTCGATCTCCGCCTGCCCCGGAGGTGACCACATGGCGTGGCAGACCTCTCCTGACCCGCCCAATGCTCCCCTCAGCACTGTACTTCGTCTATCTGCCTGTTCTGCTCCCCACTCTGTCTCTGGTGAATCCTCTCACCCTCTGCATCTCTGGCCTGTACCCCAGTTCTGTATGAATAAATGAATGAATCTTTTAAAAAAATGAATAACTCTTTAATGATTCATAGGGGTGAAGTTCTTTACAACAACTGTCAGTAATTCAACTGTAAGTCTATAGGCAGGTAGGTATTCCACCATCTCAAAAACATAAAGCAGAACATATAGGTGGATTCCAAAATCCCATTAGAAATCAAGTCCAGGATATCAATCAGAATTCAGGGGCAAGAATTCCAGATTCTCCTAGAAATAATTTGCTGATACCTCTTTCTTTAGATCTGGAAACTTGTATCTGCTTCCTCTGAGGTATATTTTGGTTTTAAATTTCTCATTTAGTCATTCAACATAATTTGTTTTGGGGGGGGATATGCCTATCATACTTTAGGTTCTATTCTAGATAGTGGGGATTTGTCTGGTGCTGGTGGGCAATGAGGACCTCTTCATAGGGATCCCTGGCAAGAGCTTTCCCTACATATATTGCTTTTGTGATTCCAGGGCAAGAGGGTCCCCAGCTGCTCTCTTGGATTTCACCATTCCTCCTGCCCTCCCCTCTTCCACATACACCCACGCATATGGTGACGGTTTCTTTGAGAGATGCCACTAGAAGATAAGAGAAGGGAAATGCTGTTTTTCTGTCACTCAAATCCAATTTGAGAAACAAAAGGATTTAGCTAAGTCAATGTAGTAGGGTAAAGAAGAAAAAAGAAGGAGAACTAAAAGGGAAGGGAAGGTGAAACCAACATCTTCTCATATGCAGATCCCAAATCTTACCTTGCATACAACTGACCAGGGTAACCACCTTCATAATAACCAACCCCAGATACAGATGGAGGCCATTCCCCAGATCTCAATGCATGAGGCTGTTGGTCTGCCCAAGGTTCCTGCTGGGCCTGGGGGCTCCCACGGATGTCTTGCCATTGATGGAACCTCTCTCCAGTATGCCAAGATTGAGGAACAGGCCGGCGGTAGCCATCTTTCTGAAGGTCACGGTCTGGACCAGTAGATGATGCCCGGGGCCTCCCCTGTGGCTGAGAAGGCCTCTGAGGAACCCAAAATTCCATCCCTGACCCTCCAAGTATTTCTTGTGTTTTGAATCAGCTGGATAATTACTTTATCTTCCTGTAGACAAAACAAAAAGGCAAAAATACATTATCATTTTAGGATTATATCCAGCATGATGGTTGATTTGGTTTGGTGGAAAAAGCACACATGATCCTTGAAATCTTCTACTTAAACATTTAAATCTTCTATTTAAATCTTCTACTTAAATCACATGGGCACTGATCTAAAGATATCTGGGGGGAAAAAATGCAAGCAGATACAGGAATAGGTGAGACAATTATATTGATGTTGCCTTAAAAAATTAAAAAGTATTTTTGGAGCAGTTGAGGTGGAGGCAAGCCTACTACTTACCAAATCCTATCAGAGTATTCCAATTAGATAAATGCTGACAACTTTGTTCCACCAGCAAACATATGCTCAACATATTACAGGGGCCTCCCCGAGGCTGGGGACAGTGTAGATCTTAGACAGAGCTAGACCAGAGTACAAATCCCAACTCACATTGTCTAGCTGTTCATTGTTTCAGGCTTTGATTTCCTTCCCCATAAGATGGAAACTAGTGACCAACCTGCAGTGCTATTGTCAGAGTTAAAGGCAACATGTGCTAACACACTGAAGATGTTGAGCAATATTTTGTAAACTGTGCTTTCAGAGATAAAATTTAGGTAATATGAGTGACTGAAGACACTTCCTAAAGCAAAAGAGGGTTCAATCAGCCTCAAGAAACAGCTTTTCTGAAACCTTAAGTTAACCACTTAGAAAAATGATGCTCCATGACATGGCAGTGTCTAGTACACGGTGCCCCTGAGATTCCTTTCTCAAGAATCTAAAAAGCTGTCTCAGCCATCTTCCTGCCTCCAAATTTTAGAACCAGGAAGTCTATCCCCAGAAGCTGACCAGTTTCCCCCGTATGAAGATTGATATTTCCTATCATTCTTTATAATAGGAAATAGCTCCAGAGGGCAGATTGCTTTACAAGTTTCTCTGCTCAGAGAGGCACCTCTGAGGTAACCTCCAAAGGGGAAGCACAGAACTTCCACCCTCTGCCCTCCCCCGCCTCCTGATCTGGGATGATCTTGCATCAGGAATGTATATTAGCTCAGTCAGACCCCATGTTTTTTCTCTCTTGGGAACTGTCTCAAATGGTTAAGACTGAGAGCATATCCAGTTAACGCGCTCACACCCTTGAGACCTCCTGCTTAATATAAAAATTCATAAGAGCACAAAAGGTCAAAGGGTATATGTTGAAATCAAGATGTCTGTCTGCTGAAATGACATGGAGTCAGGGGCCACAGATATGAGCAGAGAGCTGTAAGCAGAACATATCCGAAGAGCAGGATGTAGGTTGCCTTTCACCTCAAAATCAGTTATGGCTCACGGGAACTAGCACCTTCCTTCCCTTGTCAACCAACTCCTTGAAAAAGCCACAGGCAATGCAAGCCTCTTCCAGCAAACCCCAGGAAAAACCAATGTCCCAAATACAGCAAAAGGTTATGTGCATTTTTCCAGAAAGCTATGGAACTGGACACAAGTAAGGTCAACAAGAACAAAGCCTCTTTCTCTTTGCCCTCAGATATTTTCACTAGATAGCCCTTCTCCAGCGGCCAACATGCAGTGTCCAAGTCTCTTTGCCAGAATCACTTCATTCTGTTGCCAAGACCTATCAAGTCCAGTAGGTTATAATAAGAACACCACACAGAAAGCACCTAGGATTCTCAGCATGAAAGCCTTATATCTACTATGACAAATCACAATCATATGCTCAAATAAATGACAATCCCTGACCCTTATAGGGTCATCAACACTGTCTCTCCTGAACTGACAGCTCGCTCAGCTGAAAGAAAGAAAACACCACATTCCCACACACCTGCTCTGATGCTTTTCCACCTTCCTCCAGCGCAGCTTCAGGAACCTGACCTAAGAGTCTTGCTCTCCTCTTGGGGACTGTCAAAGTCCAGGTGCCACATCTACCTAAACTTGTCTCCAATCTGCAGACTGTCAGTTACCTTTGCAACTGCCCAGCCTCCCTGAGCTGAGTCACTAGGGCAAAGTCCAGCCCAAAGACCTCAGCCTGGGACAGACCTGACCAGTGTATTAGCTCAGAGCCCTGTCACAGGCTTTTTCTGTTTGCCTGGCCCCGGGCTGAGCCAGGTTTATTCACATGAAAAAACAACCAGACAAGGAAGAGAGACACCAGAGAGAAGAAATCAAGAAACCCCTGAGGCAGCCTGGCCCAGGGAGAAGGGCACCACTTTGGCATGTCGGCTTGTGGCCCCACCACTGGTTGGCTCTGTGACGTAACCTCTCTGGCTCAGTTTCTTCTTTCTGAAAGGGAGATAAAATATTTAGCGGGATCATTATGAGGTTTACATGTTTTGAAAGTGACCCATGGTCAAATGTAAGTATGCTCTATAAATGTTATCTTTTTCTTTCAAAAGAGATGAGCTGGTTCCACTGGTAGAGGTGGGGACCTCTGTGGTGGGTGGTAAATACCTGGTTTGTCTGCTTTGGGTTTTCCCATTTGTGTTTCTGATTGTGCTCTAGAGGAAAAATCTAAAAGCTCGACCTTGAACTGAAATCACTAAAAAGCTTCCTATTACAAGGACATAATTTCTCATGTCTGAAAAAGATATTTGGTCAGCAGAACTAAGGTAATCTCAGAGTAGTTCATATCTACTTTTTGAATGAATTTTTTAAAATTCAACAAATCATATGTTAAGCACCTTCAGCTCAACACAATGTCCGAGTTAGTTATAATAAAATTAGGAGAAGACAGATAAACCACATTGTTTATTCTTTCTTCAACAAAAACTGAGTTCCTATTGTGCACTGGGATTTAACACATAAATCTTGGCCTTTAAAAAGCTTTAAGCAAATTAACCTCTCAAATTGTCTGTAGTCCAGGGAGGCCACCCCTGCTGGCCTCATGGTCAGACTGAATGTGCCTAAACTAGGCTTTTTTTTTTTACTTTTTTTTTTAAGATTTATTTATGCATACAGAACTGGGGTGCAGGCCAGAGGTACAGGAGTGGTGAGAGGATTCACCAGAGACAGAGTACAGAACAGAACAGGTACACTGATGAAGTGCACTGCTGAGGGGAGCAGTGGGCGAAACAGGAAAGATCTTCTGTGCCATGTGGATCACCTCTGGGGCCAGGGATCTTACTTACGCTGAGGCAGCTGTGGCTAGCTTGCAGTGCTGCGCCTTAACCAGCAGCACCACCAGGGAGGGCCTGACATTTTTTTTACTTTAAAGAACTCTTAACATCTAAGAGCAACATTGAGACACTGAGAGAGGAAGGTCTGGAAGGGGCCCTAGATGGAACAGAGGAGAAAGGAAGCCCAGTGGAGCCCACTGGCAGGTTTGGGGCACTGGTGGTGGGCTGGGTATGAAAAGATACATTTGTAGAGGTTCGAAACTATAACCCCTGGAACAAATGTAAAGATGTAAACCTACTTCACCTCAATAAATATAATTTGGGAGAAAAAGACTTGTCTTTTTTATTTTTTATTGAAGTAATAGTGCATTATATGTTTCCGGTATGCATCATTATTGATCACTAACTATGTCATTAGCTAAACCACATTAAGTTCATCACCAGAATTCTAATTCTACCTTTCACCACACAGTTGACCCTTTCCCCTTTTTGATACAAATTCCAAACACATCCAAATCAAAAGTTTGGTCTTACTAAACTATAAGATTTTCAAATGAGATCAGGTGCGTTC